CCCACATTTTTTATTTTTAAAAAATCTTATGATTTTTTAAAGCCAATATCATGGGAGGAGGGGGAGGAGGAGGGAGGGGTGATATGATTTTTGAACCTCTCACAGTAAATATGGTCCCTCCTTTGAAGAGTTTTCAATGCACTGAACCTCCAAGTCAGGCCATTATTTCCTGAATGGGGTTTGTAAACGAGCAGGGGGAATGGAGCTGAGAATTTAACGCTAGGAAGGGCCTGGTTTTTGTAGTGGTTTAGGGGTGCAGAACAGAGCAGGGATGCGGGGCAGGTAGCATGCAGCACGCTGCAGAGAAGATTCTGGATGATTGTGGCATTGAGAGACGGGCACTTAGAAAGATTATGAGTGTGGGAGAAGATTCTGGAAAGGTGGGGCCTCTAGCTGAGGGGAACCAAACTGGCAGTGAGCCATTTGCCTCTTTCTACTACTGAGGGAGACAAGAGCAAGGCCCCAGAAGCAGACATCTTGGTGACTGAATGGATCTCTGTGTGTTCTATGTGTCCCCACTCAAATTTGCACCTCAGTTTTGTGGCACATTTGGGCCTACTCTGGTCTTCCCCAAAATGAGAACTCTTGTTTAGGACTTTTGTGATAAATCGGTGATATTTGCGACAAGCGCTACCACCTCACTGGGGGATATTGGATCAGCTGCCTCTCACAGAAGACCCTGCACAGCTTCTAATCCTTGTTCTTCCAACCACAGCAGAGTGGCGAGCTATGTCGCTGTTTCAGTATTGCCAACCTCAAATGCTCGAAAGTCATGAATCCCGCTCGCCAAAGATCACTGGCTTTTAAATCACGAGAGTATGGAATGGATTTGGCGCTCTTTTTTATTTGCCTTCTGCCTTTGGAGCCTTTACATTGCACTGGGGTCACATTTTGAAGCTGTCTCCACAGGAGGGAGGGCTAGAAACTTATTTTTTTTAAGCACTAAGGCTGGAAATGTCGCCTTTCCACTGAACACCCGGAGCTACAGCTTTAAGGAAAACAATAATTATCCCAAGACTTGACAATATCACGAAAGCTGGCCACACTGCAGCTTGTGCAGTCACACAGATAAAAGCCCACGGGCACTCTCTCAAAGACGCTGCTCTGCCCCAATCACACAATGAACCCACAACACGGGGTGTGAACTGGGGAAGAGTCAGCGAAATTCAGCACAATATTACTGTTGTTTGGGGAACTTTGGTCTCTTACTTAAGGCCACACAGTGAGGCAGTGGAATAGGTGGGAATAGCACAAAGAAGGTCTCTACTGCCTGCCTGGATTAAGGACAAAATCATATCATGAACCTCTGTGTCAGGCAGGGGCAAGCAGGGAGAAACAGTGCTGAGAGGATAAGACAGCAATTTAAGGGCCTGTTTTAGTAGCAGTGTAAGGTTGGGGATGCAGGAAAGCAGGGGCGGGGGTGCAGTGTGTGTGGCAAGCGAGAAAGAAGATTCTAGAAGAGTGTGGCAGTTGGGCAGTTACTGGTTGGCAGTTAGCAGGGGTGGGGGAGGGTAACGGTGTGGATGGGCAGGGCAGTTAGCGAGTTGAGGGTTTAGCAATGAGTCACAGGGAGCTGGATAGTGATAGAAATGTAGCCGTGTTAGTCTGGTGTAGCTGAATCAAAAAACAGGACTATGTAGCACTTTAAAGACTAACAAGATGGTTTATTAGATGATGAGCTTTCGTGGGCCAGACCCACTTCCTCAGATCAAATAGTGGAAGAAAATAGTCACAACCATATATACCAAAAGATACAATTAAAAAAAAAGAACACATATGAAAAGGACAAATCACATTTCAGAACAGAAGGGGGATGCATCTTGATTTGTCCTTTTCATATGTGTTCTTTTTTTTTAATTGTACCCTTTGGTATATATGGTTGTGACTATTTTCTTCCACTATTTGATCTGAGGAAGTGGGTCTGGCCCACGAAAGCTCATCACCTAATAAACCATCTTGGTAGTCTTTAAAGTGCTACATAGTCCTGTATTTTGAGGGCGTTGGAGGGAGAGAAAGTTTGTGAAGCCTGGGGCAGTTAATTAAGGGGAGGCAGATTGTCAGCAAAGGGTGTCATAGGGGGGGGGGGGGAGGTTAATGAAGAGAACTAGGCTGGCAATATGTCAGAGATCTCACAGGGGCCAGGAAAGGCAGCACAGGTCGTGAGGAAGAATCCGACTGCTTGGCAGTGGTTCTGTGGAGCACACCGATAGCTGAGCGGCATTCACTCTGTTTTATCTGATAAACAGAACAAGCTTTACAAGGGCCACTGGCTTCTAGCCCTTCCCCTTGCTCACGCAGCGACTGTAGCTTTGCTGCACATTTCCCTCTGTCTTTTTCGATGCTTACCAAGCCATGGAGGATCTGATTTGTCCGGAGGGGAAGCCCAGCAGTTTCTGAAGCTTTCAAATCGGTCTGTAAATATCCAAGCTTTTGGGAACATATTTTTCATGCCACACAGGCTTAGCACAGTGCAGAGAATTACATAATAGAAACTTTACTCCTATTCTTACTTCACTGTTTTGGAGCGACCTTAATTCCAGTAGAACAACACGTTACGTCCAAAATAACATATAACTAAATGGATAAAATCCTGAAATTCTTGACAAAGTCACTTATTATTTATAGCTTATTTCAGCACTCGGGTGTTTCCTGTGGACACGGGTGCTGTAACGCAACCCACTCCAGTCTGATTAGCATGTGTCTGCAGCCAGTTGCTATTTGCACTGGAGGCATGTCTAGTGTTGATTATCTGTGGCAACTCTTCACTTGTTAACTCTGACAAGGCTGCGACCTGGAATGATTCTGCTACGACTGTGTAGACTCTTGGCTTCTCTTATCTACTTGCCTTGTCCTGGAATTTTATTATCTGAATATGAAACAAGTTTTGCTTCAGACTTCTTTAAAGTATCCTTATTATCTATATCTTAAATACTGTCCTGGGCTCCATTATCTAGTTTAAAGGATACAATTCTGCCATCAATATTTAGACTTATTTGTTCTTCTGAAATATTTTTCTCTGTAGCTCACTCTGTCTGAACAGGGATAAGAACACCAGAACGGCCAGACCATCTAGCCCAGTGTCCTGTCTTCTGACCGTGCCCAATGGCAGGTGTCCCAGAGGGAGTGAACAGAACAAGGAATCATCAAGCAATCCCTATCCTGTCACCCATTTCCAACCTCTGCAAATAGAGGCTAGGGACATTATTCCTACCTATCCTGGGTAATAGCTATTGAGGGACCTAACCTCCATGAATCTATCTAGTTCTTTTTGTAACTCTGTTAAAGTCCCAATCTTCACAACATCCTCTGGCAAGGAGTTCCACAGGCCGACTGTGTGCTGTGTGAAGAAAAAACGTCCTTTTGTCTATTTTAAACCTGCTGCCTATTAATTTCGTTTGGTGACCCCTAGTTCTTGTGTTATGGGAACAAGTAAATAACTTTTCTTCTTCACTTACTTCACACAGTCATGATTTTATAGGCCTCTATCATATCCCCCCTTTGTCTCAGCTGAAAAGTCCCATTCTTATTAATCTCTTTTCATATGGGACCCATTCCAAACCCCTAATCATTTTTGTTGCTCTTTTCTTAACTTTTTCCAATGCTAAAATGTCTGTTTTTGAGATGAGGTTACCACATCTGTATGCAGCATTCAAGATGTGGGTCTACCATGGATTTATAAAGAGGGAATAAGATATCCTGTGTCTTCCCTTTAATAATTCCTAACACTCAGTTTGCTTTTTTGGCTGCTGCTGCACATTAAGTGGCTGTTTTCAGAGAACTATCCACAATGACTCCAAGGTCTCTCTCTCTCTGAGTCACTGATCTGAGAAGTGTTGGCTTTGACTGTGACACATACCTTTGTTCCTCAACCCTCCTCACCATTTCATTTTTGGCATATTTGACCAAATAATGGAAAATTTCTTGTTTTCTGTTCTCTGCCACATCTAGTGCCTAGCAATTCTTCTCCATGACAAATGTGATGATCATTTTTACTTCATTTGTATCTATTTTCCCTGATTAAAATGTTATTTATTCAGTCTCTACTATGTCATTTAATCCTGAAATATGCATTGCATTAGGATTGCTGGCTCGGCAAATGTCCACAGCACAGATTGTGTTAAATCAGCTTTTCCCTGCACTTTATCAATCACAGCATATTTGGTATTCAACATATAGTGTTAGCTTTTATTAATTTCCCCCATCACATATTCATCAACTTGTTTATATGGTTCTTCATCAAAACCATCTCTCCCGAGCACAACTTAATTCTGTGCAACACACTATTACATGTGCTTACTCTGCTGCTACGACTGTGAGTTGATTTAAAGGAACAATGCCTAGGCAACCTTTAATAAGCAGATAATATATTTTGCTACCACTGAATGTTTGAATGGGTGGATGTGAGGGTTAGGATTTGATGACTCTGCTCTATAATGCTTGAAATGTAATTTCAGTGATGTCTGATTTTGACTTTGTGTGTTGTGAACATCTTCTACACCTTAAGGGTACCCGAGAGAAGTCTGGGGGGTCCATCAACACAACTGAAATTTGGAGAAAACGGAATTTTTGTTTTAAGTTTTACAGTGTTTTATTATTATTGTACTTTTTACACCCAAAAATTTCATTACCTGCCCGGCTATGATTAAGTTGTTTAAGCAAATGTGTTCCAATGGTAGAAAAAAAATGTGTGTGTGTGTGTGTTTGAAAACTATGTACTTTTTTTTTTTTTTTTTGAAAAAGGGGCGCTTTATCAAAAAAGGTTTAGAAATGCTGTTCTACACTATTGGGAGTGGAAGGCGTGACAAGGTCAGGCCCCAGGGCTGCTCCAGCGGGTACATCTACACTGCAAAACTATACCAAAATAACTTTGTCCACGTCTACACAGCAGGCAGTTATTTCAAAATAATGTCAAAATACTCTCAAGCTGGAGGACTTCTTACTCCGACTCCTGCCACCCGCATTGTGCGAGGAATAAAGGAAGTCAGAGAAGAGCGCTCTGTTTCAAAATAGGTGCTGTGTAGATGCTCCTTATTTTGAAATAAGCTACACAATTGCCATTGCTCAAATTGTGTCACTTATTTCGAGGTAAGCCTGCAGTGTAGACGCATCAGAGTGTGGAAAAGGCAGCCCCAAAAGGGCAAAAGTCCTGCTTATTAGAGGTGGGTGACTGCATCCGGCAGGGAGCTGGCCCAGGAAGATTGGGGCCAGCTGACTTCACATCAGGCATGCCAGAGGCCTTTAAAAGCCACCGCAGTGAGAAGGTGAGAGTGGAGAATGAGGTCTGGGGGCCCTAAAGGTCATTGCTTATCTAGCATGAGAGGAGGCATTTTCTCCAAATTTGTGATAATTACTTGAATTCTATGTATGAGCTCCACAGCATAATATTTTAGGCAGTGGTTAGATCCCCACTTCCCAACCAGCCCCTCCAGGTGGGTTGCGGCTCTGGTAATATTGATTTTGCTGGGTCCCATCGTAAGGATTGCTCATGAGATTGAGACCCTGTCAAAACAGGATCCTGATTCATGTCCACATGCAAACACTGTGGCCCAAATGAATACAGACTATGACTATTCCTATTCTTGAGTCATGTAATAAGTGGCAATAGCTGGTCATTAGATGACTGTCCTCCACATAAATCTGACCAGTCCTAGAGGGTTTGATTCTTCGCTCCATGTAAGTGATAATTTCACAAAAGGAAAGTTGCTGCTGCTCCCACCTTCACATTCAAGCAGTAGAAGGGACAGGCTATTACTAAGTGCTGTGAAGTGGCCACCATGTCAGGGGATTCTAACTGGATGTCGCTGGTTTGGTATTTTAGGAAGACTGATAGCGATGTAGATATTGTCAAGAGAAAGAACAAAAACCCAGGATAAACCAGTTTGTGACTTAGGCATCCTTTGTGTGTCCACATATAAAGAAACCCAGGCGGAGTGATTAGCAAAACCAACAGGGAGAGTTATGCAAGAGAAAGAAAATTAAATCTGACATTTAAAAACAGCCACATCAACTAGAAAACAATGATGGAGGAGGCTCTAAGGATTAAGGGAAACCCAGTAAGAAAGAAAGAGAAAACATTCAACCATACAAACCACCGGTAAACCGATCTGCTGAGGAATCTGAAAACTCTCTGGAGTTCCACAGTAACCATGGGTAGGGGGTATAACAGGCTAGAGAAGGCTAAACCTCCCCAAACTTAGGCTGGTGCCCCACTCACACTTTGCCCCAAGGTCCAGCCCTCATTTTCCT